GATGAGTTTCAGATTTGCGAAGGCACTGGTTACAGCTTCACAGCTCTTAAACCTCATTTTTTAGTGAATTATCTTCCCATCGACTGTATTAATTTAACAGAGGTGGAACATTTGTTGAGAGAAGGTAGGTCTTGTTAGTATTTCTGATAGTAATGTTGCAGGCCTGTGACCCTCAGAACTGATTTCGTGCCAGCCCATGGTAGTATTTGTGCGATTTCATGTGTACTGTGCAAAACGTGCATGTAGCAATTTCATAGATTTTCACTTCGCTCTTGAAGTTGTTTCGAATTCCAGTGTGTTTTTCCTGAAATGGATTTCTTTTTGTAAAATGCCCCTTCTGTAGGTTGGCATATATGTATATGACTTTTCATTAGGATCTGAAATTGGTAACTGTCTAAAATGGTTCTGTTTTGGCATTTGGATATATTTTTCTTTTGCGTCTTTTTTTTTTTTTAGTTAGATCAAATACTGACTTACAGCTGTCTTTAAAAGCTGGTTCTAAAGTAAGTTGTCCTGCTTGCTTATAATTTTCCGCATTAGATTATTCAAGTGTGCATTTTCTTAAGCCGTTAGTGAGTACATAAAAAATACAGAATTTGCCAGGTTAGTGTACTCAAACTGAATTTTCTGCCCTGCGGTTTTAAGTCTGGCCAAAAGTCAGAGATACGTTTTTTTTGTCGATGTTGGTTTCAGCATTTAAATTAGAGTAAGTTAGAATATTTCTTCTTTTGCAGCAAGAGTTGAGAATTTGACATTGTAAGATTTTTGAATGAAGTCTGGTTCAATGCAAGCTGACATTAATCAGGCTTATCCTTTAGGAAAATAATTATATATTCTAGTTAAAGCATATACTTTCTTGATGATTCTTTCCTTATCTTACCTGGAGATTGTATTTTCTTTTTCTCCCGTTTGCTGGTGGCATTAGTTGGAGATTGTTACATTATTTAAATTGTTTCTTAATAAATTAGTAGATGTAATTTTCTCTGTTTTTTCGTCTCAGAACCTTCTGGTATCTTTGTGAAAAGCATTACAAAAGGCAGTGCTGTTGAACATGATGGGAGAATCCATGTGGGAGATCAAATTATAGTTGTAAGTAAACACAGAAAGAAATTAGATCACTTGTCTGCAAAACTCTAAATTGTGAAGAATCACTCATATAGTACTTGTATAAAACATTTAGGATTGGTGTCGAAATGGTTAGTCCTTTTTTGGACTGAATGTTCAATCACATTATCTTTCTGATTATCTACCTATACGTAACTTGTGTTTCTTAAGAAAATCTGTGCATGTGTGTGTATCTTACCAGTAGGAGCTTTGAGACTGCTTAGTAAAGTTTCAAAGTTTTATTCAGATTGAGCAACTATTTTCAAAATGATTTTTTTAAAAGTATGTTGTGAAAGTTTTAGGTGCCCAGGGAAAGAAGAAAATATTTTCATGCATGTAATGTTAGTTGTGTGGTGAAGATCAGGTCATAAATAGAGGAACCCAGTTTTCTTGGCTGTCATAGATCTGGCCTTGTGTTTGTGTGAAGACAGCACTAAGAATAAGTTGTGGTCTCTCTCCAAGTGGAAGTCTACCTGCATATTTGTATGTAGAAGTATATGTGGGTTTTATAGTGATTTAAATGCTGAGTACAAATGGCTAAAATTGATTATTCCAAAGTTTGATTTCTTCTTTGCAGATGCAAAAGGAGGAAAAGATTTGAGTGACCTCAGACAAAATATAACAATAAACATTTTTTAAATGTGGTTTATTGAAGTGTGGAGGAAAAATTAAATAACCCCAGCTCAGTTTTAATTACTTCATATTCAGAAGAGCACCAGAGTTTAAAAACAGAAGGGCAACAAAATGATTGAGGGCCCAGGGAGAGTCATTCTTCATACAGAAGGAATTAAAATAATGGAATGTGTGTGTTGTACAGATAGACCGAAACAACTACAAGAGTCAAGGAATATAGTATATTTAGAGATGTTTCAGAAATTAAAGGTTCTGAGGAGTTGGGATGGAGAAAGAATAGGATACTATGGAGTTTGCAGGGACAAGGAGAATAAAAAGTGGCATGTACTAGGGACAATGGGATGAACTAATGCCAAAGTCTTGAGTTTCAGAAAAAAAGCCTGAGATAATGAGGTAGCTTCAAAAAGAAGAGGCCAAAATCTTATTCTTTAAAATGATGGACCAGAGATAACATCTGGCGGGATGGGACAATGTTTGATTGGGAAATGGGACTTGATGGTGTTCAGTAGTAGACCTCACTGTGTCTGATGTTGCTTGGCCTCTGAATGACTGCAGTCTGTAGTTCTTCCTACCACAGTGGGCAGATGTGTCTCTCCTCACCTTCCCCTCCCAGCTCCCCTGGCCATGGCTGTGTTGGTTTGTTCACCCAGTGTTTTCTCTGCAGAGGTGGGGATGGCTGGAACGGTCAAGCAGGCAGGCTGCACAGCGTGCTCTGCACATCACGTGCTGTGTCTTCTCCCACCTTGCAGAGCAGATCTTCCTGACTCCACTGTGGTGGGCACCCAAAGCACGTCTTCTCACTTTGCCGTGGTACTGGTTGTAACCTAGCTGTGGGGCACTCCAGTGAAAGAGCCTACCGTATCCAATGTCATTAAGTTGTCCAGGCTTGTGTTCTTGGGCTAATGGATGCTGAGAGTTCACCATGTTATTGTGCCCTGGACATTTTTTTTTTTTCTGGATGATGTCTTGCGGGCTGAAAAGCTGCTTAATCCTTCAGGTGGATGGAACAAATCTTCAGGGTTTTACTAACCAGCAAGCAGTTGACGTTTTGCGGCACACGGGACAAACAGTTCGACTCACTTTGATCAGAAGAGGGCTTAAGCAGGAGAATCATATTCAGCCCCAGGAGGACCTCAATGCTGCTGTTGAAAAGGACTTACAGTTCCAAACAATGGATAGTAGCACAGCCAAAGGTAATTAAAACTGGCTTTATTTTAAAGTTGGTTTGAAACATTTTTCTTCTCAATTGCAAACTGGAAATAGAGTGGGCTAGATTCATTCTGGGTGATTATTACTGGTGGCAGAGCTGCTGTACATGAGGGGAGAATTTGGTCTACTAGGGTTTGATTAATCTTTTAGACACAGTGGTATTATTTCCTACATTTTCAAAGTGAGTGTTGAAAGCTCTGCACTGCAATTGCACTTCTGGCTGAATTGCTTCAAGACTTCGATCCTGCAAAGCTTTGAATGGTAAGAAGGCAGTGAACATTTTTTTCGTGCTCAAGGGTGAGAGCTGCATTCAAGAGCAAGCAGAGAGATACCCTTCACAATGAGCAAAAGCAAGTCTTAGTTCCTTTCACTCTCGCTTGCCAGTGTCACAAGCTTGAGATGTGTGAGGAGTGGCCTGTATCTAGAGGTTATTAATGCCTAATCTGATAGGGCATTAACTATATTTGTGTACGAAGTTCAGAAGCCAATGGCCAATATTAATTTTGCTACTGATGAGATGAGATTAGTGAAGCTGAATCTTATACTGTACACGTCTTGAAGTATTTGTGCCTGATCTTGAAAGTCAGCATGTTTGAACAGATTAGCTGCGCAGAGGCTGGATGCACAAACAGATTTTTTCAGCTCCTTGTGTTACAGGTTGATGTCAGCAGAAGTATATGACAACTCAGACTGAAGTGCAGTCCCCACCTCACACAAGATTTTGGAAGACCCAGTAGTACGTTATCTGTATGACATCCTCTCGTTCCCACCTTTAGCTAAAATTACAGAGGAAATGCTCAGAAACTGCTGTTTCTTCAGTCTAGAGGTGTTCAAGGTGGCTGACAGCCAGCAACATACCTAACAGTGTCAGCTTCTTGAATTGCAGGAAGGGGGAAAAAAAAAAAAAGGAAATACAAGCGTGCTAGAGAATGTTACGTCCAGTAACTTTTCTTTCAGTCATAGAGGTGCAGCTACTGACAGTTGTGGGTTTTTTTTCTCTTGGTTCATTGAAAAATTCACTGGAGAAGACAAAACATTAACAGAAGACAACACGTCTTTAAAATACGTCCTTTCTTCTGGGCTCCTTGTGTCAGATTCCATTTGCCACTTATGGATCCTCTGAAGTCTAGTGGAAGACAAAATCCGTGCCCCGAGGCATGCTGGATGAGTATTACAAGGCATGAAGTAGCTGAAAAGGCTGCTTCTTCTTTTTCCAGATAACAGTGAAGCAGAACAGGGATCCCCATCTCTGCCATGCAGTGCCGGTGTGGTGAATATTGGAGAGGACATGAAACAACAGGAAGCAGGTTCTCAGTGTTTAATGTTTTGTTATGTGAAAATGCACTCGAGTGTGCTTACACAGAGATCGGGTGTTTCGTGTGCCTTTCTGTCTCCCGTGTGCTGCATAGCTGAAGTAATCATACATGTAAGCATGGACTGCTGAGTGCTTTGAGATCACTGACTACTGTGTGTCTCTGAAAAAAATTCTGTGTCAGAGATGTCACATGAAGCAGTCTGGTTTTACTACATGCTCAGCCCTCTTTTTAGTCTAGTTTTGTGTTTCTAGTCTTTTTAGACTAGTTGTGTATTAAAATTTTTCCCTCCTTTTTTTCCAACGTGCCTTATTGTGCTACGTGCCTGCAGCTGCCCAGATGCAGTTTCAGGACTTCTTCCTCTTCTGATAAACTTCCTTTTCACAAATTCCTGAGCTTGCGTTGATTCAATCTATGTTCTCTGATAATGTTTGAAATTCAGTCAGTTCTGGTGTACTGATGCACTTGGATGTTTCCCATACTCTTTGTGGGAATTCTAATGGGTATTTTAATTTGCCTCTTGAGCCGTTAGGGCACTGCGTTACATTTTGGAATTCCTATGTGATGATGTGTTTTCCAGATTGAGACAGCACTTGATGTATTTTCTAACATTTTCCGCTTCAAAAGCATCACCGATATGGGTTCTGTAATATTTATCTTTTCATAACTTAGGCTTTTCATTGTCCTACATAGCTGAAGAATTTATTTTTAAGACCTTCAGATGTTGCAAGGTCTCTGCTTTGGGGAAAGTATTGTCATATTTGAATGCCACACAACACCAGGCTTTATTTTTAGCAATGCGTCTGAGCAACAACTAGATTTAAAACACTGTTTGAGGCTGTTATTCACTTTAAATTCGCACTGAAAGTCAGTGGGAGTTGGGAACTTAAGCTTGTATTGAAGATACTAGTCTTCACCTCTGATGAGCATCCACATCTGACGAGTTTCTTTTGGTAGTTACTGCAGGCACAGCACAGGCCATGGACCTTGAATATATAGGGTCTGTTTTAAACTGCTGTGTTTCCTGACTGTTGTATCTAAATACTGCTCTTTATTTTTTCCTGCCCTAGAATCTAAACAGTGTGAATGAGGGGTAAATGAGCAGGAGGAAAGCATTTCTTTGTTTTTGCAGCCTTCAGATAAACTTGCAGTCAAGTTAAGAGTTGCTGCACTTTGCCGCCTAGCCTGTCATTACATTTTTCACAGCTTCATTACTCTTCTCCCCTCCTTCCCTTCCAATTTCATTTCTGCTCTTTAGCTCATTAGAGTTATTTCTCATTGCATGTGTGCACGTATGTGAATCTAACAACAAAAAAAAAGGGATAAGAGCTAGGACTTGAGTTCTCTCACTGCCCTCTAGGGCCTCTGGTTTCAGAGTATCTTTTGCAGTTGTGTATGTAGTGTGGAAAGTACAAAAACTCCAGATTTTGTTCCTTGGACACTCTCTGTAAAACTCAGGATCTGTCCAAAAGCATCAGTATGTGGTATCACATAGGTAATTATTTTGGCCATCTCCCTAAATCAATCTGATCAGCCTACATACAGTCTGGTTTAATAAATGTCCGGGGCATGCATGTAACTTTTTCATTCGCTTTGTGCCCATTATCTTGTAAAGCTGCATTAAATTTAGTCAGTGCTGAGGCTAGAGTGGATACGTGTCCTTTCTTCTCAGCCATTCACACCAAACTTTTTGACTGAACTTCAGTTTTGTGGGAGTGGGATCTAATACTATTTTGCAAGTTTTCCTCTGGTAAACCCAAGTCTGATGAGACAAAACATGTCAAATTTTAGTCATATTTAGGAGAATTCTGGCACGACAGGAATGATTTTGATGTCTTGCACGGTACATATACTTTATCCTACCTATAGGAATAGACAGGACATTTTACTGTCTATCACAGTAATCTCAGACATAACTTTCAGATTTCCAGTTAACTACTACAGAAGAAGCAGCCACGAAGGCAAAGTGGCAGAGGATTATGGGTTTGAACTATGAAATAGTGGTAAGTAAGCTTTGATTAATGTTACTAAATGCCCTTTGATCTGTCCACCTATTATGTTGCTAACATACAGATAAAAATGTTTGTATTGAATTTGTTTCTTTATAAATAAAGCTCGTACATGTGCTCCTCAATCTGTTGAGATTATTTTATTTTGATTATGGATTTTGAGTGTAGATACATGATTTTCTTTATTGATTTTAGCAAAATAATCACAGGCTTCGTAGGTTACTGTGCCTGTGAGTAACGTTTCACAGATTTCCTGGCTTCAAGAGGATAAATGTGTATTAGAGGAAAAAATAACATTTAAAGTGAACGTCAGAGCTCCCTTCAGTAGCCACAATTTGAAGCTGGTGCTTGAAACGTCCTGCCCATTCTGCATACTGAATGAATTGTTTGATGTAATGATCTAAATAACACCTAGGACATTTAATGTAGATACAGCTGAAAAGCAGTATCTGAGTTCAGGACTTCATTTCAGAGTTGTATGCCAGAGCAGTAGTCTCTGCAGAAGTATGTATAGTTCAATATATTGCTGTCATGCACAGTCCCCACTTGTTTGTGCTGAGAGGGTATGTGATCAAAGTTTCATTTTTTACCTGGCCGTTTGCCGATCCAAGCATCCATCACATTTTTACACAAATGTGACATAGAGCCTCTTCCCCATCTGGCATGTATCACGTTGGATTGGGCTGTTTCAGCTCCTGTGCTTAAAAAAGGGGCTTTTCTTGTTCTTGGGTGAGCATCTGAAGCACCACGTAAAGGCAGGTAAAAAAATAGGTTTGTGATGCTGACCTTCCGTCCACATGCATGCAGCAACATAGTCGTGTTACTCCAGACAGGGTATTTTGGTCTGTTGTGGTTCCTGGTTAACACTCTCTGAGTCTGTAACAGCAGTTTCCTTTCCAGAATAGTCCACTCTTACATGGTTGTGTAGCTTTCACTAAATGTGGCCTGCAGATTTTAGTTTTTATCTGGTGTTTGGTTTTGCCTCTCAATGCTTTTCATCTTACTGGGAGGGTGAAGTTGGATTCTTTCTTTTGAGCTGCAGTTGTTACTTCTCCCAGTGTTGTTGAAAACCTTAAGTTAGTAACTTTGGTTGCTTTTGCAGTCTAAAAGTCTGCGTTACACATGACAATATTTCTTGTTTCTCACTTCTGGAATATACACCTCATTGTGTGTAAATTGAAACTGAATGTAACAGGCACAACTGTAATTATGCCAAATGTAACCATTTCTTAACCTTATTTTAGGTGGCTGTAGTTAACAAATTCAGTGAAAGCAGCGGATTAGGGATAAGCCTGGAAGCTACAGTGGGACATCATTTCATCAGATCTATCTTACCAGAGGGGCCAGTGGGACGAAGCGGCAAACTGTTCAGTGGAGATGAGCTGCTGGAAGTAAGGAAAAATACTGCTTCATCTTAGTCTGCATGCTTCTCACAAGTTGTGACTTTGGGAATGTGGCATATCTAAGTGCATACCAGCCGTAACCAGAACTGCTTGAGCAGTCATTTTCTGAGCACTTCAGGCATATTTATATGAATGCTTGTGCTTACATGCATTTCTCAGCTAATAGCCAATTTTTCAGATGCGTTTCAAGGTCAACAAAAAAGAATACCTAGCAAAAGCATTAAGATTTAATAGGAATATCCCTACACAGTGAAGGGACTAAACACTTGTTTATTTTTCTAAATAATTTTCTTAGAATTAAAATGTGAATTTCATTCATGCAAATGGAAGAAACGTGAGGAGACAGAGCGTGTGTTGTTTTTAGGGTGGCGTCACACAATTTAAGAGACTGTCCATTCAGTTCAAAACTTACTTGGTGATTAAGGGTTGATTTTGATTAAGGGTTGACAATGTCCTTTAGCCTGGCGTTTTTTTAGTTGTGGCTTTTTTTTTTTAAATTAGATGATTAGTGGTTTTTTTTAACCTGTTTTTGTTCATTGTACTTTAAATGCTATGTGTTCTTTATTTATTGAGGTGAATGAGATCTCTTTGCTTGGAGAAAACCACAAGGATGTTGTCAATATCTTGAAAGAACTGCCTATTAAGGTGACAATGGTGTGCTGTCGTCCGGTAGCTCCCGCCATCACGCACTCAGAAGTGCTGGAGAGTCTAAGTCTATCTGAGGTTCAGCTCACAGAAAAGGTATTTTGTTTTATAAAAATCACTGAGAAAATGACTGTTTCCTTGGGAAAAAACATACGAAGTTCTTGTACAAGATGAGAACAACATTTTACTATTTCAGGGCTTGGAACCAGATAGATAGAAAAAGGCAAATTATGTTCATCAACTATACTTCTGGCCAACCAGAAGATGTGAGTCCTGGTAGATCATGGGCAGAAATATTCTGTGGCGCAAGTCTTATAGAATCATGGAATGGTTTGGGTTGGAAGGAAACTCAAAGATGATCCAGTTCCAACCCCCCTGCCATGGGCAGGGACACCCTCCACTACACCAGGTTGCCCAAAGCCTCACCGAGCCTGGCCATGAACACTTCCAGGGATGGGGCATCCACAACTTCTCTGGGCAACTTGTTCCAGTGCCTCACCACCCTCTAATTCTAGTTATCCACCTTCTTATCTACCCAAGTACTTAACTTCTGTTCTGCAGGTGGGCCATGGTGGTATGGCACACTGCACTTTGTGTTCTTTAGAATCTGAGCGTATTTAATCTGGTTTTGAACTTTGCTTTTTGAGTTTGTGTTGTGCAGACCTGCGTGTGCATTCGCTGTCAGACACACTCCTGTCACTCACAGGTGCAAAGCTCCGAACATGTAGGAATGGTCTGCTATATAGTGTATAAAGCAATAGCATTTGTATGAAAAGAGGCACAGTTAATTCTGAGTTCTGGGCAAGGCACCAAATCCGATGCTAAGCTTTTCCTTGAAACCAAGGGAAGAGGAAAGCGTCTGTGTGTGCATATGTATGTGCGTGTGTCTTTTTTCTTTTTTCAAATGTTCTGACTCCTGTCAGTGCTACTATGTTTAGATCAAGGCATGTTTTTAGATATACCATTTAATAACGGATATTTCCTCTGTATTTGAATACAAGTACTAATGAAGTTTTCTGAAGTTTTTAGTTTGACAGCAATACGATTTTGTAAATATTTTTTGCAGTGAGTACTTTTGTATACTTGCAGCATAGCTATTTTGTTACCAGGACATATGAATTCTCTGCTAGGTTTGTCGGACTTGTTTGTTAACTCTGATGAGTGCTTGCACTTTCTCTGCGTTTAGAGAAGCATCACTTAATTTTTATCTTGCTCTTCGTGAACAGAGTTTTGTCTCTGCAGGTTCACAAACATCTACATTTTATTGGTGAACATTCATTGGTTTTTTTCAGGCTCACATAGAACTTGGATTCATTGGCTCCTCGGACACAGAGCAAGCAGCTTTGGAAATAGCTGACGAGGGTCAGAGTATGGAAGAGGTGCAAAGTTCATCTTTGGCGATGTGGGAAACAGAAATACAGCACATTGAGCTGGAAAAAGGGAGTATGGGACTTGGATTTAGCATATTGGACTACCAGGTAACTTCTGTACCCCTTTCTTTGAGTAGAGGAGAAAATACTTCGTAATGTTTGGATCTTGCAATGTGATCTAAATACGTGTTTTAAGCGTAGATGTTAATGGAAACCAAGCCATACAGTAAAGCTAAACGGATGTCACTACTGGTGAGCATCCCACTAGCTACATTACTTATTCCTCTTCCTGTATTAAGACTATGTGTTGTAATGATAATACTGATCCAGAAAAATAGATAATCTGTAATATACTGAGGTCTTCAGAAAGCTCATCTGCTAGTGGCCCAGGGGCAATGAATGATGTAGTCAGAATGTTCAGGCATTTAGCCAATTTAGCCATGTGCTTTGCACCTGCAGTGAGGTGCTTAGGGCAAGATCCTATAAAAGACTTAGGTGCTTAAAGCAGGATTTACTAAAATCCAGAACTGCAATTCCGAAATCACGTGCTTAGCTGCTGTCTGTCCAGGACATGCCTAAAGCACCCATGCATTTTGTGTTTGACTTCAAAATTCCTGGGTATCTCAAGCTGTGATTCTTGGTGTGTCCTGATGAACAGTTCAGTGCCTGTCTTCTGCCTGCACTTGGTCAAGATCCCAGAGCAAATGTTCCTCCTGTTCCTAGTTGTCACAGTGGATGATTTTTAATTTGTTCAAAGTCACGTAATTTCTCCCTGCGGTCAGTGTAGGCTTTTGCCCAGCTGCTTGGTGGTGCTGCAGGATCCGGTCTCCTCCCAGGTCTCTGCTGGATCTTGTCCCTAAGAGTATATGCATTTGCATCTGGAGATCACTTCCAGGTGGAAATTATGCCTACAGGGCACTGCTTAGAATTAACGTGTACCTCAGCAGTATTTTGCATTTACACACTTCTCAAGGTGAAGAACAGTGTAGGTTAATAATCTAAAGGCGTAAAAGGATAAAGGCGTAGTCAAGTGTCTTTTATGAAACAGAGTATTTGGAGTCCTCGTCAGCACAAAGTAAGGCACGTTTTTGCTTCAGCCTCTTCTGAGTCGTTGCCACAAATGGTGGTTGCCTTTGCGGTTAGTTACTGGATTTTGTTTATGGATGGTTGTGGTGATTTAACTCCAGCTGGCAGCGAAGCACCACCCAGCTGCCCGCTCACTCCGCCTCCATGGGGTGGGGGACAGCATCAGACGAGTAAAAGTCAGAAAGCTTGTTGGTTGAGATAAAGGCAGTTGAATAGGCAAAACAAAAGCCACACATGCAAGCAAAGCAA